TTTGTCAGTCAAAAATAGGAGAGGAGAGTTATAAATGGAGAGTTAGAGGTATTGGGAAGATGGAAGGAATATCTTTGAGGAATTGTTAAATGTTGAATGAAGATAGGTAAGCTGTGATTTCGTGTAAAGGGCAAGGAGGAATAACATCTTGTAGGAGTGAGGAAGAGCCCGTTTGGAGTTTGGGGGAAGTTTGTGAGGCAGTAGGTAAAATGAAAGGGGGTAAGGCAGCGGGGGGGATTGCTGGATAAAGATAGAAATGTTAAAGCAGGAGGGTGGATATGTTTTGGAGTGTTGGTGCAATTATTTGAATAAATGTATGGAAGAGGGTAAGGTACCAGGGATTGGCAGAGGAGCAGCTTAGTTTTCCTTTAGTATAAAGGCAAAGGGATAAACGAGAGTGCAAAAATTATAGGGGATAAGTCTGTGATGTACTGGTAAAGTGTATGGGTAGAGTTATAATTTGGAAAGAATTAAGAGGAAGACGGAGAATAGGATAGCAGATGAACTAGGAGGCTTTAGAAAGGTAGAGGGTGTGGAACCAGGTGTTTACAGTGAAACATATAGATGAACAGTATTTAGGATAAGGCTAAAGAGGTCTTTTGTGGCATTATGGATTTTGGAAAACTTAAGACAGGTGGATAAGGGGGGCAATGTGGCAGATGTTGCAAGTGTCTGGTGTAGGAGGTATGTACTGAAAGCAGTGAAGAGTTTTCACGAGGATAGTGGAGGCTCAGTTAGAGTATGTAAGGAAAGAGGAAATTTTTTCCCCCCATAAAAGAACCTAGACAAGGATGTGTGATTGTCACCGTGGTTGTTTAATAGATTGTATAGATGGGGTGGGGGGGGGTTGTCAGAGAAGTAAATGCATTGTCTTGGCCAAGAGGCGAGGAGTTAAAAGCTAAAGAAACACACACAAAGTGGGGAGTTGTCACACTGGTCTTGTGATGACACTGTGCTTCTTGGAGATTCTGAAGAGAGTTTGCAGAAGATTTGGTGGATCATTGGTAGGGTGTGCAAAAGAAGAAAATTAAAGGTGAATACAGGAAAGAGTAAGGTTTTATGAGGATAACAAAAAGAATAGGTGATGAAGATGAATATCAGATTGAGGGAGAGAGTAAGAGAGTGAACGTAATCAGATATTTGGGAAGTGACGTGACAGCGGAATGGGTCTATGAAAGTGAGGTTGAATCATAGAATAGAATGAGGGAAAAAAGAGTGAGTGGTGGCACTTAGGAGTCTGTGGAGGACTAAGAACTTTGTCCTTGGAGGCAAGAGGGGAATGTATGGAGAGTATATTTTACAACGCTCTTATATGGGTGTGAGCGTGGTGATGAATGTTTGCAGCGAGGATAGGCTTGAGCAGTGGAGATGTCATGTCTGAGGCAATGGTGTGGTGTGAATATAATGCAGAGAATTCGTAGTTTGGAAGTTAGGAGGAGGTGCGGGATTACCAAAACTGTTTGTCCAGAGGCTGAGAAGGGGGGTTTGAGGTGTTCGGACAGTAGAGAGAATGGAGGCGAACAGAATGACTTCAAGAGTGTATCAGTCTGTAGTGGGAAGGAAGGGCGGGGTAGGGGTCGGCCTAGGAGGGTTGGAGGAGGGGGTAAAGGAGGTTTTTGTGTGCGAGGGCTTGGACTTCCAGCAGCAGCGTGAATCGTGTTTTGATAGGAGTGCTATGGAGACTAATGGTTTTTAATACTTGAACTGCTGTTGGAGTGTGAGCAAAGTAACATTTAATGAAGGGATTCAGGGAAACCGGCAGGCCGGACTTGAGTCCTGGAGATGGGAAGTACAGTGTCTGCACTCTGAAGGAGGGGTGTTAATGTTGCAGTTTAAAAACTGTAGTGTAAAGCACCCTTCTGGCAAGACAGTGATGGAGTGAATGATGGTGAAAGTTTTTCTTTTTCGGGCCACCCTGCCTTGGTGGGAATCGGCCGGTGTGATAATAAAATAAAATATATATATACATATATATATATGCAAAACAACCACTCTGAAAGAATAGAGAAATTCCTGCCTCGGTGGGAGACGGCCGACTTGTTGAAAAAAAAAAAAAAAAAAAAATATATATATATTTATATATACATACATACACATATATACATGTATATATACACCTTTTTTACCAATAAGTATATTTTATTACATAATATGGTACAAAAGGTTAAAGAGATACATTGTTGATATAAAGATGGCATATACAGTACATGAGATGCGAGAGATACATACATGTCTAGTACATATTGTAACGTGTTTGTCACTGATTACAATATGAAAATCTCATCCAGCTCTTCAGAACTGGGGCGCGTGCCCAAATTACAGCAGGCATTACCCCTCTGAACAGCTGCATTAAGTCGCTGAAACAGAAAACTAGCTGCCCTGGGATCCCTAGTTACCCTGATGAGTCTTTTGCCTAGCTCCTTAACCCTTAAACTGTCTACACGTAGATATACGTTCATGTGCGGTGGGCTCCAAATGTAGATCAATGTTTTATTTTCCATTCCTTCAAATTTGGTGCGATAGGCCTGAGTCGCCTAGATATGAAAGAATGGGTCTGTGCACTCAGTGTGCGCACTGTGAAAAATATCGGGGACCACTCAGTACCTTGTATGAGCACCAGTTCAACTGAGCGCCAGCTAGAGCAAATAGCATGGCAAACAACAGTGATTCACTGATGTCATGTCATATTAACATTAACATTTTGAGAGTAAAGTAAAAATAGGTTAGATAAATGCATGAGTGGGTGTGGGTGGGTGTGAGTTGGACCTGACTAGCTTGTGCTACTGGGACAGATGTTGTGCTCCTTCTTTCAGTGGATGTGACCTGACTAGGTGGGTCATTGGTCTAAGCTGGGGGGTGACATGGACCTGCTATGCATGGGCCAGTAAGCCTGCTGCAGTGTTCTTTCTTTCTTATGTTCTTATATGGTGCACACTTACCACATAGATGCATTCTCTCATATCTAGGCCCAGATTTACCGCTCACAGCTTATGTGAGTAAGCTGAGCTCATGATGTAGTACTACTGCACAAACTCTGGCTTCAAAACTGTAGAACTATGGGATGGACCCTCAAAGGGTTAACCTAGGTCTATCATGAAACTAAAGAGGCCTGAGGCATGTGGGAGAGGAATTGGCCTGCCCATACCACCGCAATGACTGGCCATGTCAAGGTGCAAGATAGAAATGAGTATAATGGCTGTGAAAGGTGGTAAACCTTCAGAGCAAAATGTGAAAATAGATGCAATAAATACATTGGGAACAAGCTGAAATGATAGTAGGGGGAGGTGCAAAAAGGTTGAGGTCTGCTGTATTTAGACAATCTTAATTCCAAATCAATTTTATTAAAGAGCTACACCTACCATCTGACTTACGACCTACTCGACTTACGACCACTCGACTTACGACCGTGTTTTTTATGCCAAATTTCTGGGAAATAAACAACTATTTGTGTTGTACACAGTGTTTATCCTAAACCTTACAGTATAAAATACAGTACTAACAGCATAAATAGTAAAGTAAAACATGAAATACCAAAATAAAACAATAAAATAAAGTCATTACAAAAATGTTTTGTTGATATTCAGTAGTAAAGTTTGACTTACGACCATTTCGACTTACAACCGATTTCTCGGAACCGAACTCGGTCGTAAGTCGGATGGTAGATGTATTACTAAACCTCTTTCTGCATAAAGTTCACTTAACCCTTTCAGGGTCCAGAGGCCAAATTTCAAAGTGCACACCAGGGTCCAAGAATTTAAAAAAAAAAAAAAAATTTTTCTTATGAAATGATAGAGAATCTTTTTCTGAAGGTAATAAAACAAAAAGCACGAAATTTGATGGAAAATTGACGAAATTATGCTCTCACAAATTTTGATGTGTCAGCGATATTTACGAATTGGCGATTTTACTGACATTGACTCCCATTTTAGGTCAGTTACATTATTCCAGTCGACCAAATTCTTAGCTATTTCTCTAGCATTACTTTTATTCTATCAATTGAGCACAAGAAATCGCCAAGTCAACCGTTTCAACTACAAAATAAAGTGACCGGAAATTGGTAATTTGGCCAATTTAACACAAAGTTCAAAATATTCCAATTTCAAAATAGGGTCCAGAATAAACAATGTAGGTATTTCTGGCACTAAGCTAACATTTCCTCTGTTCATTAGTTATGTTTTGAGGCTTTACAAATGAATTTTATTTTGAATTTTTATTCAAACCAAAAAATAGAAGATTTACTGTTCTGCAATATTGTAATAATTGTATAAATATCATCACCACATTTGTGAATGTATATTAGACCCACCAGCTGGCATGTATTAGACGTGTGAGGTCGCTTGTTTACTCTTGAACATCGACAAAAATTTAACATTTCCACTACTTTGAGCTCAGTTTCAAGCCATTTCCAGTGCTAAAACCAATCAAAATCATTTCTATTTCTGTAATATATCTTCCATTCTATCAAATGAGACCAAGAAATCGCAAACACAACTATAAAAAAAAACATACGAAAAAACACTGCAAAGTCACTGTTTTAATTGAAAATCACAGTCTCAGTTTTTTCTCTCATTATACACTGTGTGCTGCAGGATTTGTTTTATGTGGTGCACACATACCACATAGATGTATTCTCTCATATCTAGGCCCAAATTTACCACTCAGAGCTTATCAGAGTGAGCTGAGCTCATGGCATAGATCTACGGTTTGGACCCTGAACGTAAAGCCGTAGATCTACGGCACGGACCCTGAAAGAGTTAAAGGACCCCATTATCATTTACCCCTGGCACCTCAAACTTGCTTATAAATAGGTAATTACATCACTAATTATCACCAGTAATATTGAAAAAGTACATTGTATCAAATATTGCTCTACTTTTGTAACTATAAAAAGATAATTATATGAGTGCATCCGTGCAGCCCAGGTTCTGACCTTAGGTATCCCTAGTATTATACAGTATTTCATTTGACCTTTATAGTAGTAATTGAAATTTCCTTCACAGGATTGAACCACCTGCTGCTATTCCATCCCAGGAACCTCGTAAAAATAAGAAACCCGAAGCAGCCGAAGTGATAGATGAAGAAGAGGAGGAGCAAAAGATGCGAGAAGAGGCCGGACTCACTCGTTCTGGCCGATTGTTTGGTGGCTTTATTAATGATATTAAACGAAAAGCACCATGGTTCCTCAGCGATTTTAAGGATGGCTTCTCCATACAGTCCATTGCCTCCATCATTTTCATTTATTTTGCTTGTCTCACTCCTATTATCACCTTTGGAGGTCTACTTGGAGAGGCTACAGAAAATCGCATTGCTGCTTTGGAATCTCTTGTTGCTGGCTTACTGTGTGGGGTGGTATATGGCATGTTCTCTGGCCAACCCCTCACCGTTTTGGGTTCAACGGGTCCTGTTCTGGTGTTTGAAACTATTTTGTTTGACTTCTGCAAGTAAGTAATATTTATATCTTTATGTATTTAATTTTTCAACTGTTATGTCATTCTTTTTAAACTGAGTTTCATTCAGTATGCATTTTAGGTTCTCTGTAGTTTTTGCTAAACTAACAGCAAATGCAAAATAATTATTTTTTTGAAAACACTATGGCAATGTTGGAACATTCACAGCATAACAGACTTCACACTAAATGTGGATTACATAAGTGTGCAGTAAACCCTCAATTTAAGGGACTGTGAAAATATGGGACAAAATCCACTGAGTCAGTTGATTTGGAAACATCAGACAAATTCAGTTTGTTACAGAATTGTTATTGTTATAATCACAACAAAGCAATCTTATCTCTATCCATAACATCCATTCGTTAAATTGTTTGACACCTAGTTAATGCTGTACATAGTGTCAAGTGTTCTAGTATACATGTATATGAAGTGTGATTGGTGTCCTTAACAAAGAATACAGTAATAAGAGACTGGAGAAATGTTCAGTGTATGTAACTGGGCTTGGAATAGGCCATCTATTACAGTATCACAATTTTGGTTGATTAAGGCTTCTAGGGGAATTAAAATGAATCAGCCTGTAGTATAATTAATAAGCTAGCCCATCACCAAAACTGCAATATGTAATGCAGTCCGGGAGTATAAAAACACATTCAATACCTTTTTAATCTTTACTAGTAAAATTAATAGCATAAAAGAGTATTTTCTTTTTGTAAAGATACATTATAAAATAAAGTGGAGTTAAAAGATAAAGAATCACACATAAAGTGGGAGTTATCACAGCTGCTCTTTGCTGATAACACTGTGCTCTTGGGAGATTCTGAAGAGAAGTTGCAGAGGTTGGTGGATGAATTTGGTAGGATATGCAAAAGAAGAAAATTAAAAGTGAATACAGGAAAGAGTAAGGTTATGAGGATAACAAGAAGATTAGGTGATGAAAGATTGGATATCAGATTGGAGGGAGAGAGTATGGAGGAGGTGAATGTATTTCAGATATTTGGGAGTGGACGTGTCAGCGGATGGGTCTGTGAAAGATGAGGTGAATCATAGAATTGATGAGGGGAAAAGGGTGAGCGGTGCACTTAGGAGTCTGTGGAGACAAAGAACTTTGTCCTTGGAGGCAAAGAGGGGAATGTATGAGAGTATAGTTTTACCAACGCTCTTATATGGGTGTGAAGCATGGGTGATGAATGTTGCAGCGAGGAGAAGGCTGGAGGCAGTGGAGATGTCATGTCTGAGGGCAATGTGTGGTGTGAATATAATGCAGAGAATTCGTAGTTTGGAAGTTAGGAGGAGGTGCGGGATTACCAAAACTGTTGTCCAGAGGGCTGAGGAAGGGTTGTTGAGGTGGTTCGGACATGTAGAGAGAATGGAGTGAAATACAATGACTTCAAGAGTGTATCAGTTTGTAGTGAAAGGAAGGCGGGGTAGGGGTCGGCCTAGGAAAGATTGGAGGGAGGGGGTAAAGGAGGTTTTGTGTGCGAGGGGCTTGGCCTTCCAGCAGGCATGCGTGAGCGTGTTTGATAGGAGTGAATGGAGACAAATGGTTTTTAATACTTGATGTGCAGTTGGAGTGTGAGCAAAGTAACATTTATGAAGGGATTCAGGGAAACTGGCAGGTCGGACTTGAGTCCTGGAGATGGGAAGTACACTTCACTCTGAAGGAGGGGTGTTAATGTTGCAGTTTAAAAACTGTAGTGTAAAGCACCCTTCTGGCAAGACAGTGATGGAGTGAATGATGGTGAAAGGTTTTCTTTTATTGGGCCACCCTGCCTTGGTGGGAATCGGCCAGTGTGTTAATAAAAAAAACATTATAAAATAAGAGTATATTCTTTGGTATGATTATCACATTACAATAACAAGTAGTCATGACCCTACTTACACCTGTGTTACTTGACACTACCTTTCCCTAAGTGTCATGACACACCTACTACTCTGTGTCACAAGACACCCCTGTCTCTGTTACATTGCTCCTTCTCTCCATGTCACTTAGACACCCTTGTCTCTGTGCCATACATGACACGCCTTCTCTCCATGTCACACAACACCCTGTTCTCTGCACCGTAACACACCTTCTCTGTCACAAGACACCTTTTCTCTGTGCCATGATACTCCTTCTCTGTGTCACAAGACACTACTTTTCATACAGGGTTACATGACACCCTGCTAATGACGACTTGTGTTACACCTGTCACCTGTGTTATTACTGACACAAACTCACACACGACACTGTTGACACTACCTTCACTGTGTCTTCACACGACACTACCTTCGCTGTGTCTTCACACGACACTACCTTTACTGTGTCTTCACACAACACTACTTTCACTGAGTCTTCACACAACACTACCTTCACTGTGTCTTCACACAACACTACCTTCACTGTGTCTTCACACGACACTACCTTCACTGTCTTCACACAACACTACCTTCACTGTGTCTTCACACAACACTACCTTCACTGTGTCTTCACACAACACTACCTTCACTGAGAGTCTCACAACGTCGTGGGATAGCCAACAGGAAGCCAAGTCCAGTTGGGGGGTATCAGCCAGCAGGAAACTAGTCCAGCTGTTGTAGCCAGCAAAAAGTCCAGCTGGCATCAGGTGAGCAGTGGTGAACATGTTCAGTGATGAATACACTCTTTCTGACACTGAGGCTGGCTGAGCAGCCCCCTACATTGGGTGTGCTAGCTTGTAACAACCATAGCAGCACCCAAGTGGTCAGTCAACCACCTCCTTTTATTTGTTTCTTTCTGGGTCTGCAACACCATCAGCAGAGGAATATGTTGGTTACAGACATCAGAAGAGGAATATGTTGGTTACAGACATCAGAAGAGGAATATGTTGGTTACAGACATCAGAAGAGGAATATGTTGGTGACAGACATCAGAAGAGGAATATGTTGGTTACAAATATCAGAAGAGGAATATGTTGGTTACAAACATCAGAAGAGGAATATGTTGGTTACAAACATCAGAAGAGGAATATGTTGGTTACAAGCTTCAGTAGAGGAATATGTTGGTTACAAACATCAGAAGAGGAATATGTTGGTTACAAACATCAGAAGAGGATCATGTTGGTTACAAACATCAGAAGAGGAATATGTTGGTTACAAACATCAGAAGAGGATCATGTTGGTTACAAACATCAGAAGAGGATCATGTTGGTTACAAACATCAGAAGAGGAATATGTTGGTTACAAACATCAGAAGAGGAATATGTTGGTTATATACATCAGAAGAGGAATATGTTAGTTATATACATCAGAAGAGGAATATGTTGGTTACAGACATCAGAAGAGGAATATGTTGGTTACAAATATCAGAAGAGGAATATGTTGGTTACAAACATCAGAAGATGAATATGTTGGTTACAAACATCAGAAGAGGAATGTGTTGGTTACAAACATCAGAAGAAGAATATGTTAGTTACAAACATCAGAAGAGAAATATGTTGGTTACATACATCAGAAGAGGAATATGTTGGTTACAAATATCAGAAGAGGAATATGTTGATTATATATATCAGAAGAGGAATATGTTGGTTATATACATCAGAAGAGGAATATGTTGGTTATATACATCAGAAGAGGAATATGTTGGTTATATACATCAGAAGAGGAATATGTTGGTTATATACATCAGAAGAGGAATATGTTGGTTATATACATCAGAAGAGGAATATGTTGGTTATATACATCAGAAGAGGAATATGTTGATTATATATATCAGAAGAGGAATATGTTGGTTACAGACATCAGAAGAGGAATTTGTTGGTTACAAATATCAGAAAGGGAATATGTTGGTTACAAACATCAGAAGAGGAATATGCTGGTTACAAAATATCAGTAGAGGAATATGTTGGTTACAAACATCAGAAGACGAATATGTTGATTATATACATCAGAAGAGGAATATGTTGGTTTCAGACATCAGAAGAGGAATATGTTGGTTACAAATATCAGAAGAGGAATATGTTGGTTACAAACATCATAAGAGGAATATGTTGGTTACAAACATCAGAAGAGGAATATGTTGGTTACAAACATCAGTAGAGGAATATGTTGGTTACAAACATCAGAAGAGGAATATGTTGGTTACAAACATCAGTAGGGGAATATGTTGGTTACAAACATCAGAAGAGGAATATGTTGGTTTCAGACATCATAAGAGGAATATGTTGGTTACAAATATCAGAAGAGGAATATGTTGGTTACAAACATCATAAGAGGAATATGTTGGTTACAAACATCAGAAGAGGAATATGTTGGTTACAAACATCAGTAGAGGAATATGTTGGTTACAAACATCAGAAGAGGAATATGTTGGCTACAAACATTAGATGACTAATGTTTGCATTATAGTATATAAAGAGGCATGTGAGTGTTTATATTGGCATTAGCACATGAGGTTTATGAATAATGTCACCTTGCCTTAATAAAAATATGTTGCAACTCTTTAGGCCTCAGTCAGTACATTTCCTCTAATCAAACTTAAAATACATTAGAGGGATTTATATACAAGTCAGATTCTACCTGCAGAAAATAATATACACTATTATATTTCCATATTTTTTAAGGTTTTGGATATACTCGAAACCAAATTTTGTGAAAGTTACACATATAGTGTAAATTAGACCCTTGTGCAACACTTGGGTATCTTTACTGTGGAAAGTTTTCAGCAACCAGTGGCTTCTTCAGTCAGTTCTCTTAACCACTTATCTACTTTCATATAGTGTAAACTCTCTGTAATATTTTGCTCACTACCACGTTTTGTGTGTACATATTTTATTCATTATTTTTAGAACTATGTCATGGAGCTACCTCTCATTCCGCTTATGGATTGGTTTGTGGGCTGGCTTCATCTTGATCATACTAGTGGCTGTGGATGCCTCTGCTCTCGTCTGCTTCATCACTCGCTTCACTGAAGAAAATTTTGCTACCTTAATTGCATTTATCTTTATTTATAAGGTAAGATTGCATTTGTATTGACTGCTTTTTAAACCAATACTGCTGAACTTAAGTCTTGGCTTCTTTATTATTTTGATGTTTTTGTTTCTTATGTTCTGTATCACTATCTGGATGATACTTGAGAATGACTAAACACTGAATGATAACTTAAGAATGACTTTAGACCTTTCAGGGTTGCAACCCCTGTTCTCAAACTTGCTCTCAGGGTTGGAAAATTAAAAAAAAAAATATTTTGTCATATGAAATGGTAATAAAACAAAAAGTACAAAATTTGATGGAAAACTGATGAAATTACACTTTTGCGAATTTTGCTGTGCTGTGTCAGCGATATTTACACATCGGCGATTTCGTCCACTTTGAGTCCAGTTTTAGGCCAATTCCATTAATTCAGTTTACCAAATTCTTAGCTATTTTGCTAGTATGGCTTCCATTCTCTCAAATGAATAGAAGAAACTGCCCATTCAACTGTTTAAACTACCCAGTAGAGTGATCAGAAATTGTTAACTTGGCCAATTTCACACAAAATTAACTCTTTGACTGTCGCAATCCCCTTTCTGAAACTGTCATTCTATGTCGCAAAATTTTTGGAAAAAAAAAATTATTTTTTCTTATGAAATGATAGAGAATCTTTTCCCGGTGGTAATGACACCAAAAGTACGAAATTTGGTTGAAAGCTCATGGAATTACGCTCCCGCGAAGTTAGCGGTCTCAGTGACATGTACGTATCAGCGATTTCACCGACTTTGAGCCCTGTTTTTGGCCAATTCTGTTGTTCCAGTTGACCAAACTCATAGCTATTTCTTTAGAACTCCATTTTTTCTATCAATTGAATACAAGAAACTTACCATTTACCGATTGGAACTACCCAATAAAGTGGTCGGAAATTGTCGATTTGGCCTATTTCACACAAATTAAAAAGATGCCAGTTTCAAAATATTGTCCAGAATAAACAGTGTAGACATCCTTGGCACTAAAATAACATATCCTCTGTTGATTAGTCAAGTCTCTAGGCCCCTCTTATATTACTGTTGCTTTCTATTTTGATTTTTTATTCATACAAAAAATACAAAATTTACTGTTATGCAGACCACTGCATTATTGTAAAAATGGTATAAATAATATCAGTGCACTAGTAAAAGAATATTAGACTCCCCAGTTGACGTGTATTGGATGTGTGATGTGATTTGCTTACTCTTGAACATTGGTAAAAATTGAACATTTCTGCTACTTTGAGCTCAATTTCAAGGTTGTTTTCATCATGAAACTAATCAAAATCATCTCTATTTCTGCAATATGTTTACCATTTTATCACGTGAGACCATGAAAACAAGAATACAACGATAAATACTATACGAAAATACACCTCAAAGTCGGTGTTTCAATCCAAAAAAATGGTCAGAGTTTTTTTTTTCTCATTGTGCACTGTGCTGCAGGATTTTTTTTATGTGGTGCACACTGACCACACAGACCCATTCTCTCACATGTGGGCCTACCAACTTTCTCCTGCTTGATTTGAAGCCGCTAGAATTATTGAGTATATATATGTCAAACACACTGCCTTGTAAGATGTATATATATGACCAAAGCAGTCAAAGGGTTAATGCTTTGAAAAAAAAAATACGTACAGGAAATAATGAAAGCCAGGACAGTGACTTGCCTATTCCACACTGGCTCGTAAGACGTATATATATGACCAAAACAGTCAAAGGGTTAAAGAAAGGCCAATTTCAAAATAGGGTTCAGAATAAACAATGCAGACATTACTGGCACTAAAATAACATTTCCTTTGTTCATTAGTCACATCTCCAGGCCTCCCCTATATTACACTTACTTTCCATTTTGAATTTTTATTCACATAAAAAAATAGAATATTTACTGTTATGCAGACTACTGCATTATTGTAATAATTTTATAAATAATGTCAGTGCATTTGTAAATGTGTATTAGAGTGGCCAGATGGACATGAACTCTGGAATATCGTGCAAAATCGAACATTTATGCTACTTTGAGCTCCATTTCAAGCTACTTTCAGTCCTGAAACCAATCAAAATAATCTCTATTTCTGTAATATGTCTTTCGTTCAATCAAATGAGACCAAGAAAACCAAGAGTATAACAATAAAAACTACATGAAAATACACTACAAAGTTGTTGTTTTAAATAAAAAACACGGTTGCAGTTTTTTCCAGTATGCACTGTTTGATGCAGGACTTTTTTTTTATATGGTTCACATTACTGCATTTACCCATTCTCTCATATCTAGGCCCAAATTTACCACTCACAGCTTATTTGAATGAGCTGACCCGACACTGACTTCAAAACCGCAGAACAACTGGGTCGTCCTCAAATGTGTTAAATACTGGCTGATACTTGAGAATGATTAAACACTGGATGATAACTTAAGAATGACTTTTATCACCGACTTGAAACTTACAACACTTGTCACAAGTGTTCTCACTGTACTCTTCATTAATAATACATATTTAGTTCTTCTTGTAATCTGCATTAGATTTAGTTAAATATAAAGAAGTTAAGCTGTACTGTGCAATATTATAAATAACATATAGACATTTGCAGAGTTCATGCATGGATCTTATGGCTTCTTTATGTTTGTGTGTAGCTAACCATTATGTTTGTGTGTAGCTAACCATTATATTTGTGTGTAGCTATCCATTATGTTTGTGTGTAGCTAACCATTATATTTGTGTGTAGCTATCCATTATGTTTGTGTGTAACTAACCATTATGTTTTTGTATAGCTAACCATTCTTCACTACAGTAAATACGTTACTTCATTCATGTTTGACTTTTTGCTTTTGTATTTGAATTTTACTAATACAAAAATTTAATAATTTTTTTTTTCTGTGGGGTAAGCAAAGGTATACTTGAGAAAACTGGGTAGGGGGTTGCTGAGGTGGTCTAGGCATGTAGAGAGAATGGAAAGGCAGAGGTTGACAAAGAGGATGTATGAATCTAGGTTGGAAGGTAGAAAGGTAGGGGTCATGCCAAGAATGCTTGGAAGGAGGGGGTAAAAGAGGCTTTGAGTTTTAGGGGCTTGAGGATCCAGCAGACTTGTGTGAGTGTGTTAAATGGGAGTGAATGGACATCAGTGTTTTTTTTTTATTGGGCCTATTGTTGGAGAGTGAGCAGGGTAAATTTTTATGAAGGGATTCAGGGAAACTAGTTAGCCAGACTTGAGTCCTGGAGGTGGGAAAGGTAGTGCTTGCACTCTAAATGGGGGGGGGGGGAGGATGTTGCAGTTAGAGGGTATTCTGATTATGATTTCAGAACACTTCTGGAAAGATGGTGATTGAATGAATGATGGTGAATGTGTTTTCTGCTTTGGGTCACCCTACCTTGGCGGACGACAGCCATTAACTTAAAAAATATAATTGAACTAAGTATTGAAAATGTTTTGTAATAAGTAATACATGTTTTAAAAAAAGGGAACAAAGGGTTAGTAATCCCTTCTGTATCCCTGCCTAGGTGGGATATGGCCGGTTTGTTGAAAGATTTTAAGAAAAAGAGGATAGGAGAGTTTTTTACAAAGTAAAGGTAATGTATGGTGAGTGGAGTATATGGAGAGTAAATGAGAAGCTATAAAAGAGAAAGTGCAAAAGGAAACCCAGTGAGGGTAGGTGAGTTTTATCAACAAATTTTGCTGAGAATAAGAGAAAACATTTTGGAGTGAGATTAACCCCATAACTGTCCAAACATAGATCTATATTGCTACTGCTAGCACTCCAAACATAGATCTATATTGCTACTGCTAGCACTCCAAAGATTGCATTAATATTTGCATTATGATTAGCACTCCTGAAACATGATTATTGTTGAATGATGCATGAAATGTTTCTGCTTTGTCCCTACTGCTAGCACTCAAACTAAAAAATTTAATTGTAACTAAGTATTGAAAATGTTTGTTAGAACTCCAGTTTAAAAGGATCAAATTGTTACTTCTAGATCCTGCCATATGGATCTGCATTGTTACAGATCTAAGCAAAATAGATAGAAGTTTTTACAAGTAATAGAATAGATTAGTGAGTGTTATGTAGATAATATGAGAAGCTATAAAGTAAGTGCTAAGAACCCAGATATGAGATCTAACAATTTATGCTAGATAGATAAAACATTTTGTAGCTCCGACAAGATCTACCATTACTGTGCCTCCAAGAATAGATCTATATTGTTACTGCTAGCACTCCAAAATAGATCTACATTGCTACTGCTAGCACTCCAGATATAGATCTACATTGTTACTGCTAGCACTCCAGACATAGATCTACATTGTTACTGCTAGCACTCCAAACATAGATCTATATTGCTACTTGCTAGCACTCCAAACATAGATCTATATTGCTACTTCTAGCACTCCAAACATAGATCTACATTGCTACTTCTAGCACTTCAAACATAGATCTACATTGCTACTTCTAGCACTCTCGAGTGCAAATAGATCTACATTGTTACTGCTAGCACTCCAGACATAGATCTACATTGTTACTGCTAGCACTCCAGATATAGATCTACATTGTTACTGCTAGCACTCCAGACATAGATCTACATTGCTACTTCTAGCACTCCAAACATAGATCTACATTGCTACTGCTAGCACTCCAAAATAGATCTAATTGTTTACTGCTAGCACTCCAAACATAGATCTACATTGCTACTTCTAGCACTCCAAACATAGATCTACATTGTTACTGCTAGCACTCCAAACATAGATCTATATTGCTACTTCTAGCACTCCAAACATAGATCTACATTGCTACTGCTAGCACTTCAAACATAGATCTATATTGCTACTTGCTAGCACTCCAAACATAGATCTACATTGTTACTGCTAGCACTCCAAATGTAGATCAATGTTTTATTTTTCCTGCCTCCAAATTTGTCACAGTTGGCCAAAGATGCCTGGTCACTATAGAATGGGTCTTAACACTCAGTGTGCAAAGTATTAAAAATCTGGGACCACTTAGTACCTTGTGGGAGCACCAGTTCAGTTGAGCACCAGCTAGAGCAAACAGCGTGGCAAATACCAGGGATTGACTGATGTCATGGCTGGCTGGCTGGCTGGCTAACTGGCTGGCTAACTGGCTGGCTAACTGGCTGACTAACTGGCTGGCACTGGCTGGCTAACTGACTGGCTAACTGGTTGTCTAACTGGCTGGCTGGTTTGCTGGCTAACTAGCTGGCTAATTGGCTGGCTATCTGACTGACTGGCTTGCTAACTGGCTGGCTAACTGGCTGGCAAACTTGCTGGTTAACTGTCTGGCTGGCTGGCTGGCTAGCTGGCTGGCTGGCTGGCTGGTGACTGGCTAACTGGCTGGCTGGCTAATTGGCTGACTGGCTAACTGGCTGGCTGGATGGCTAACTGGCTGGCTAACTGGCAAGCTGGCTAACTGGCTGGCTAACTGGCAAGCTGGCTAACTGGCTCATTGGCTGACTGGTTGGCTGGCTAACTGGCTAGCTGGCTGGCTAACTGGCTGGCTAACTGACTGGCTAACTGGCTGGCTAACTGGCTGGCGGGCTAACTCGCTGGCTGGCTAACTGGCTGGCTGGCTGGCTGGCATAAGGCATGGAGTGATTTCTTGCATGGGACAGGGAGGTTTAACATCTAAATAAGTGTTAAGATCAAGCATTAAGCAACAGATCTCTGTAACAACCATTTAGTATTATTTAGTTCACTGCCTAGTCAAAGTTTACCCCAAATGCTGGGTTTAATTTGGTCTTTTTATTTGGGTATCATATTTTTAAAATAATAATTCTGATTCTGATACACTTTTTCTACATAGGCTGTTGAGAAAGTCTTGAAGATTGGTGAAAAGTATCCAATGGAAACATCAGTTGATGCTTACAAATTCTGTGAGTGTGTACCACTTAATGAAACAGAAGATGTAATGAATTCTACTGACTGGAGTAATATCAGTAAGGAAGAATGTATGAGGGTAAGTTTGTTTTATATGTTTCTCTTCTGAATAAATACTTATTGAAATAATATTTGGTGTACTTTGGGTTATTTTATAATTTTCAAAATTTTTAACTCTGCTCTTTATCCTTTGCTTTTTAGAGTCTTTATTTTCAAATAGTTTACAGTAGTTAACCTCAATATTGGCATGTGATATGGGGACATTATTGTATGATGGAAGGATATTTTGATTCAATTTGTACCATACTTCAATGCAGATATAGATATACAGCACTGTATTTATATATTTGTAACTTTTGGATATTAGAGACTCAGGCAGAACACTAAATAAAGGTTTTGGAGAATATATTAATGTGTAAAATATGTTGTAAATATATATTTTTCATCTTACAGGTGTATAATGGTACAATGGTAGGGAATGGACATGAATGTGAACATTATTACCCTGATGTGTTCCTGCTTAGCCTCATTCTGTTCTTCGGTACTTTTCTCATATCTGTCTACCTAAAGGATTTCAAATTTGCTACTTTCTTCCCTACTAAGGTGAGATATGTTTATAAATCATTATTATTATTATTACTATAATCAAATTAAGCACTAAACCCATAAGGTCACACAGCACTGCAGGGAGGGATGTGCAAAAGTAGAAATATATGAAGGCGAAGAATGAGTGAGAGGTAAGGTGTGTAAAGTTAAAGGGTTAGTAGGGGTAGGAGATGGAAATATAAACACTTAAGCAGTATAATGTGATCCTTTATTGACAACAATTCGCCCACACAGTGGGCTTTATCAAGTCACAAACAGATCTACCTGGGTGAAACATACATGGCTATATATAGGATGGGAATGCTGAGTCAGGTGGAGAAAGGTGCACGTGACAATCTTCGGAGTAGAGTGAAGAAGTCTAAAAACTTAGGTAGCTTTTAAAAGAAATTGGATAAGTACATGAGTGGATCTTCTGCAGTGTTCCTCAATTCTTATGTTCTTATGTGGGACAGCGATGAAGAAGTTTCTTGGCAAGGGGTTCAGCTATGTTATAGAAACTGTTGTTCTGGTTGAAGTTGTTGGATGTACAGATAAGTGATGATTCCAGGATTCTTCGGTATTGAGTGTTGCCTTCTCTGGCGATAAGTCTTGTGTTTCTGTAGTTGATTAAATGGTTGTATGAATTTCAGTGTTGAACACAGGCATTCCTTGGATCATCAGTTCTGTCTGTATACTGGTGTTCTGAAATACTTGTTTGGAGGTCTCTGGATGTTTTGCTGATGTATAATTTGCTGCATTCATTACAAGGGATTGTGTATACCTCTGCAGAGGATTGAAGCTTGTCTTGTCTATCACTGGTAATGTCCTTGATGGTGGTGGATGTGGAAGTAGATACTTGGAATGAGGTTTTGGAGAAGATGTTGGAAACATGTTTGGTAAAGATGTTGTGTTAAAGATGTTTAATGCTCGTCGTCTGCAGTCTCTAATAAAGTGACAAGAATAGTGAAGTTTAGAAAATGGTTGTTCAATAAGAGAGAGTATTCTTCTTCAAGGAACTCACTGCTGCAGATTCTAAGTGCCTGTAGGAAAAAGCCTATACAGGTGTGCCTCAACATTCGCGAGGGTTAGGGGATCAAGAGCCTCGCGAATGTTGAAAAACCGTGAATGTTTGGTGCCCCAATATATTGTAGGGAAATATAATACAATACTGCTTAACTTGTTGAACCATGAACAATCATAAAATACATGAAAACATCGTAAATTGTACTAAATATATACATGTTATGCTTTAATAACATGTATGTTATCACTCTTTGATATTCCTCGTGTCCATCTCACGCTATGCAAAAACTCAATGCACATAAAAGGCCCTAAAATCTGGAATTCATTACCTGTAAATATAAAAGAAACACTACCTGTTTATAAATTCAAGTCTCTTCTCAAAGATCACTTACTCACCCAAAACCAAATGAATACTGAATAACTGAACCTTATAAATTGTATATCTTAAATGTTTCTCACAATTATATCACATAAATGTTAAACCTAAAACCCAATCTAACTTTATTATTTTTTAAATTCACTACCTAACAGAATACTCCATTCTACTGAATTTACAACAATGCATGCAACCATATGACCTGTCTTTGTAATACTCACTTGTGCTTTATAGTAATCAGTTTACATTAATGTTTTTCACTGATTTCATCATTGCTTAGTTAATCTTAAGTTAATTTTAAGCCAGCCCGTAATGCTATGCATAGTATAAGTGGCTTTGGCATGCTGCTCTTATCTGTATTTTTTTTGTACCTCTGTAAGTGTGCTCAAATTATAAATAAATAAATAAATAAATAAATAAATAAATAAATACCACAGACTCCAACACTGCCTCCACCAATGCCTCCACCACTTCCTCAACCACTGCGAGTCCCTACTACCCTTCCTCTGAGCCCCGCAACTGGCAGCCAGCCCTCCCACCACTCAGTGTTGTGAGTGTTTTGTTTGTTCATTATTTGCTATTAAACTACAGTATAAATAATGTAAACACATTCATGACTGCATATTGGAATGGCTATTTGGACAGGTATTGGACGGTGACATCATGTGTTTACTCTTGAACACAGCAAAGAATCAAACATTTCTGCTACTGCTAATAATAACAATAGTAATAATAATAATAATAATAATAATAATAATAATAATAATATAATACGATATAATTGAAGAAGGAAATTGTACAAAAATACGAGGGAGTGGTTGACACATCGTCAGTGTGGCTTTGTTTATGCTGGAGTGAACATTAGTCTCCGTGCTCTTCCAAACATTTCACAATAATTCATTGTTTCGTGCTTATAGATTGAGTGCAACTGGAGTGGTTGAGGCAGTGGTAGAGGCAGTGGTAGAGGCAGTGATAGAGGCAGTGATAGAGGCAGTGATAGAGGCAGTGGTAGAGGCAGTGATAGAGGCAGTGGTAGAGGCAGTGATAGAGGCAGTGGGTAGAGGCAGTGGTAGAGGCAGTGGTAGAGGCAGTGATAAGGCAGTGGTAGAGGCAGTGATAGAGGCAGTGGATAGAGGCAGTGGTAGAGGCAGTGATAGAGGCAGTGGTAGAGGCAGTGATAGAGGCAGTGTAGAGGCAGTGGGTGAGGCAGTGATAGAGGCAGTGGTAGAGGCAGTGATAGAGGCAGTGGTAGAGGCAGTGGTATAGAGGCAGTGGTAGAGGCAGTGGTAGAGGCAGTGATAGAGGCAGTGATAGAGGCAGTGATAGAGGCAGTGGTAGAGGCAGTGATAGAGGCAGAGTGGTAGAGGCAGTGGTAGAGGCAGTGATAGAGGCAGTATAGAGGCAGTGGTAGAGGCAGTGATAGAGGCAGTGATAGAGGCAGTGTAGAGGCAGTGGTAGAGGCAGTGATAGAGGCAGTGGTATAGAGGCAGTGGTAGAGGCAGTGATAGAGGCAGTGGTAGAGGCAGTGATAGAGGCAGTGATAGAGGCAGTGGTAGAGGCAGTGATAGAGGCAGTGATAGAGGCAGTGATAGAGGCAGTGGTAGAGGCAGTGATAGAGGCAGTGGTGAGGCAGTGTAGAGGCAGTGATAGAGGCAGTGGTAGAGGCAGTGGTAGAGGCAGGTAGAGGCAGTGGTAGAGGCAGTGTAGAGCAGTGTAGAGGCAGTGGTAGAGGCAGTGGTAGAGGCAGTGGTAGAGGCAGTGTAGAGGCAGTGGTAGAGGCAGTGGTAGAGGCAGTGATAGAGGCAGTGGATAGAGGCAGTGGTAGAGGCAGTGGTAGAGGCAGTGGTAGAGGCAGTGGTAGAGGCAGTGTAGAGGCAGTGATAGAGGCAGTGATAGAGGCAGTGATAGAGGCAGTGGTAGAGGCAGTGGTAGAGGCAGTGGAAGAGGCAGAGGTAGAGGCAGTGATAGAGGCAGTGATAGAGGCAGTGATAGAGGCAGTGGTAGAGGCAGTTGGTAGAGGCAGTGTAGAGGCAGTGGTAGAGGCAGTGGTAGAGGCAGTGGTAGAGGCAGTGGATAGAGGCAGTGGTAGAGGCAGTGTAGAGGCAGTGTAGAGGCAGTGATAGAGGCAGTGGTAGAGGCAGTGGTAGAGGCAGTGGTAGAGGCAGTGATAGAGGCAGTGTAGAGGCAGTGAGTAGAGGCAGTGGTAGAGGCAGTGATAGAGGCAGTGATAGAGGCAGTGGTAGAGGCAGTGGTAGAGGCAGTGATAGAGGCAGTGATAGAGGCAGTGATAGAGGCAGTGGTAGAGGCAGTGATAGAGGCAGTGATAGAGGCAGTGGTAGAGGCAGTGGTTAGAGGCAGTGTAGAGGCAGTGGTAGAGGCATGGTAGAGGCAGTGTAGAGGCAGTGGTAGAGGAAGTGGTAGAGGCAGTGGTAGAGGCAGTGGATAGAGGCAGTGGTAGAGGCAGTGGTAGAGGCAGTGGTAGAGCAGTGATAGAGGCAGTGGAGAGGCAGTGGTAGAGGCAGTGGTAGAGGTAAGTGGTAGAGGCAGTGGTAGAGGCAGTGATAGAGGCAGTGGTAGAGGCAGTGATAGAGGCAGTGGTAGAGGCAGTGATAGAGGCAGTGGTAGAGGCAGTGGTAGAGGCAGTGGTAGAGCAGTGGTAGAGGCAGTGGTAGAGGCAGTGTAGAGGCAGTGGTGAGGCAGTGTAGAGGCAGTGAGAGGCAGTGGTAGAGGCAGTGGTAGAGGCAGTGGTAGAGGCAGTGATAGAGGCAGTGGTAGAGGCAGTGGTAGAGGCAGTGTAGAGGCAGTTGTAGAAGCAGTGGTAGAGGCAGTGGTAGAGGCAGTGGTAGAGGATGTGTAGAGGCAGTGGTAGAGGCAGTGTAGAGGCAGTGGTAGAGGCAGTGTAGAGGCAGTGGTAGAGGCAGTGTAGAGGCAGTTGTAGAGGCAGTGGTAGAGGCAGTGGTAGAGGCAGTGTAGAGGCATGGTAGAGGCAGTGGTAGAGGCAGTGATAGAGCAGTGATAGAGGCAGTGTAGAGGCAGTGGTAGAGGCATGTGCATGTAGAGGCAGTGGTAGAGGCATGTAGCATGGTAGAGGCAGTGGTAGAGGCAGTGTAGAGGCAGTGGTAGAGGCATGGTAGAGGCAGTGGTAGGGCAGTGTAGAGGCAGTGGTAGAGGCAGTGTGACATGTAGGCAGTGGTAGAGGCAGTGGTAGAGCAGTGTAGAGGCAGTGGGTGAGGCAGTGTAGAGGCAGTGGTAGAGGCAGTGGTAGAGCAGTGCATATCTAGCATTAGACATGTATGCTATACATACAGTAGACTAGTACATGTATGACATACTACATTATGTTATAATATTATCTTATACATTTATTATATTATTATTATTTATTATTATATTATATAATGTTTTAATATTAACATGTACTATTATTATTTATAACATATATGTTAGTAAATACCACTGCCTCTACCACTGCCTCTATCACTGCCTCTACCACTGCCTCTACCACTGCCTCTACCACTGCCTCTACCACTGCCTCACCCACTGCCTCTACCACTGCCTCTACCACTGCCTCTACCACTGCCTCTACCACTGCCTCACCCACTGCCTCTACCACTGCCTC